GTCTTTTTGTTTTGTTTTTGTTTTTTTTTTTTGTTTTTGTTTTTTTTTTTTTAGCAGACTTTTCCTTAAATAGCCACTCTGCATCTTTGTAAGTGATGCGGATTCTGAAATTACTGAGAACAACAGAGTACTGTGTGAACTGCACCCCTTGGAAACAAAGATACCAGGGTGTTGGATGTCTCACTGAGATTGATATTAAAGACTGTAAGTATTCTCCAACGTGTTAGCCACATTTTAACCACGCTACCGGTTTTAACACTTGTTTCTGTTAGTGCTGAAATGAAAATTTATTTTTAAGCTAAGAGGCCCAATTTGTCAATTCACATTGATCAGATTTGGTGATTAATTGCTTATTCTAATCATTGGCTTTTTCAGAAAAAGATCCCCCAGGCTTACCATCCCTCAGGACACAGAGAGGGATTTGAAGGACAGTGTGAGGTGACATAGGGTGAGACTGCAGAGACACTGCACCTGTCCCTTCAGGATGCACAGGACACTGCTCCTAATCCTCAGGGTCTCAATGGGAACTGAGGGAAGCTGTGTTAGTTGGAGCTTCCAGAAGCTCCTGGGAGATGAGGGTGGCTTCCTGCTATAGAATGGATATTCAAGAAGAATCAGAGATCTGGATTCTTGGGTGGTCTATGTTTTCAGATGAGTGACTGAGGACAGGATTTGTCTTTTGAAGGGTCCCAGTTTCCTCATTTTGAGGGAGTACTGAGCTTCGTTCTGATTCGTGTGCTCTGAGAGTCCGGATGGGTGGCCAGGCTCTCCCTGGATGGAGCCTTCTTTGTGCTTCTCTTGTCAGGCTTTTATCTCAGGAAGTCAAACTCTGCTGAACCTTGAGGTTTGGGGACCTTGAGCCTGTTCCTACACCTTTTCACCCACCCTGTCCCATTGCGGGAGCTTTGTGACTTCCACCAAGCAGGCTCACTTATGTGTCCCACCTGATAAGCCCTACTGGAGCCAGGCTCGCAGTGGGCGGGCGCCTCTGTGTGAGCATTGTTAGTGCAAGGTGCAGTGAGGTTCTAGATGCCTCACCTCTTTGACTCTAGAACTGAATTTCTTCTGCCAAGTGGTGTGTGTGTGTGTGTGTGTGTGTGTGTGTGTGTGTGAATGCAGAGACAGGATTTGTTTGTTAAGGGAACAGGTCTGCCACACAGAACAACTGCATGCTTCTTCCCATTAGTGTGAAGTAATGGACCTTTCTCAGCAGCACGGTTTTGGGTTTTGTTGAGAGAAAACCTGCAACTCAGTGCTTATTGTTTTCTGGAGGAACTGGAGTTGCTTTCTGGATGGTTCTCAGTGTTGTTTGTTTGTTTGTTTTTTGGTTTTTGTTTTGTTTTGTTTTGTTTTTTCTGAGTAGAGTTCGAAGCCAAGCAACATGTGAAGAGGCCTGAGGAAGAATCGAAGAACCGGAAGCAAGCCTGGCAACAGTTTTTTTCAGCCTGCCACTTAGCAAAACCTTACTAGGCACCTGCTATACGCTGGGCTCTGCCCCATGACCCACGCACTGGGCAAGCGACAACCAGGGGCTGACTATCAATACAACTTAGAAGTCAGAAAAACAAAACAAACAAACAAATGAAAAACCCACCTTTCTCCTTCAAGAAAACAAGCAGCCAGGTAAGAAGAAGGAAAGGTCTCTGAGTTCCCAGCCAACTTCAACAGATCTGCTTGCCCGGAAGCAGCCTTTCCCTGCTCTGGGAGAGGGGCAGAGAGGGGAGAACATGGCAACATCTGGGGGTCTGGGGGGACAGTGGACGGCAGAGCTAGCATCACACCCAGACGGTCCCCAGGGCTCAGCATGTTCCTGTCAACTGCTCTCATGCAGCCTAGTGAACAGAATTGAAGCCCTGCTTTAAACTGGTTGGATGGCTCTCTACTGGAGGAAAGAGCTGGAACAGGCCCAGTCTAGAGGGAGCACACTCAGAGCGTGTGCTGAACCCGAGGGCAGCTTTCCCGGATCCATGTGTAACTCGGGGTGCTGCTTGCTGATCCAGGGACCTTTGGATACTTTTCCAGCATTCCCTGCATTTACCTCCACCTAAAACCATTTAAAAACATATTTTGTATGGATGGCTGTTTGGCCTGCATTTTATGTGTGCACCACACGCATGCCTGGTGCCCATGGAGGCCAGAAGAGGGCGTCAGATCCCCTGGGCCTGGAGTTACAGATGGTTGTGAGTTTCCTGGTGAGTTCAAGGACTCAAACCCAGATCCTCTGAAAGAGCAACAAGCACTCTTAGCTGAGCCAACCCTCCAGCTCCCCTCCCCAACACCATTTTTAATGCGTCTGCCCCCCCCCATCTCTTTGAGTAAGAAAGGGGCCATGCTATTAATCTCCTACATCCCCAGGTGGCCCATGGTGGGTTATTTGATGAATCAATCAGGTGGACTGGTGGGTTCTCCCTCTTATTTTTCTCCTGAACCAAAATGCAACCATCCCGCAATGCAGTATGCCTGGCTGGGGTTACAAGCTGCGGGTTAGGCTGAGAGCAGCAGGCTCACAGAGTGAGGGAGGAGGCAGAGCATAGTGGTGTATACCCTTAGCCCCGGGCACTTGGGGGAGAGGGGCTGGCAGAGGCAGGCATGCTCTGTGAGGCCAGCCTGTTCTACCTGGCCAGTTCCAGCACAGCTGAGGCTACCTAGTGAGACCTTGTCTTGAAAACGGGGGACTAGCTTTGGCCCTGGCCCTGGAGGACCTCTAGGTTTGGCTTTTCCTCCTTGCCAACCTGCAAACTTATCTTTGTCTCCGCTACAGATGTTTCTGAGATGAGTGTCACGACAGCCTTTTATCAATCCTTTCCCTGGAGAGTCTCAGAGGGGAAATTTGTGTAACTGAAAGTTGAACCAAGTCACAAGGCTTTTAATAAATACCAATCTGGAGGCCAGAGAGGTCTAGTCACTTGCCCAAGGTTGCACAGCTAGTTGGGGCGGGATCTGAATTCCCGTCTCCTGGTTTCCTTGCAGGGCCTGGAGCAGGCCCCTCGGGAAGTCTGCCAATGACTCCATTCTTTCCCACATTCTGTGGCACCTCCTATGAAGCGGGCAGCGTGTTGAGCCCAGTGGATGGGAAATGAAGTCAGTCTTTGCTCTACTAAAGATTTTTTCTTTGAGCTGTGTCCCAATTAGCTCCAGATTTCCACAGTTTAGAGCCAGGGTCCCCGTGGCCTTCAGCCGGCTGGCATGAGCAGAGGCCAGCCGGCCTTTGGGCTCCGGGCTTCTCTGCGATCTGGGGGTTGAAGCTCAGGCCCGCCAGCCTATTCTGCAGCTAGTTGGTGCCTTTACCACCGAACCAATCATGCCAGAAAGTCATCACTATGATTTCAGAACTGTATTGTGAATTATGCAAAGCGCGCGGATAATTACAGTCGGACGCCCAGAACACAGAACGCATATGCTGCGGGGTGGGTAGCCCCCTATGGTGTTTGCCAGAATTGAATAGTCCTCTCTCTCTGTGTGGGGTGGGGGTGGGGGTGTACGCACCCTTGCCTGTTTAGCGGGTTCCTTGGCACCTAGTTCCATTAGGAGTTAGTGCCTGGAGAAGGAACACTCCGGTTTTGGTTGGGGGACAGTTTTGACGAGCTTGGGAGTCTTTTTTCATAAGTTTTGGTGTCTGTAAATGAGTCATCAGGCTCATGTCTCATGCGAGAGAGGTCATTTGAAATCCAGGGCAGCCATGTCCTTCTACCTCCCCAGCTTGGGCACCTGAAAATCCCCTTCCTGGCCACACAGCCTTAAACTTCTCCCCGAAGACAAGCCCAGGTCTAGCCCCCGTCACCATTTGCCCTCCTCGTTGCCCGCGACAAATTAGTTCCACTTGAAGGTCTTTGTCCTTGACCAAGCGCCCCCTTCTGCCACCACTTCGCGATGGTGGCGTTGGCGGCAGCAACAATTGGATTTCTGGCAAGAGCTAGACCCCGAGGACCTGAAACCGAGGCTGGCACCCTGTCTCTAACCGGAAATGCCTTTCCCCTCTGGGCACTGAGTTCGAGTTTAAGCTGTGCTGAGAGCAGGGCTGGCTGGCAGCCCAAGTTGGCTGTCAAAAAAAAAAAAAAGTAATTTTCTCCCCTGTCACCTAAAAATTCCCACCATACCCTAAACTCGTCCCAGTTTGTAAGGCCACAGAGGAGAGGTGGTACGGGAAGCCATCACCCGCCTCTCGGTTGTTCTGGGTGGCCGGGCCCCCGTGCCGGGTGGCTGCTGTGTGTGGTGCACAGGGTCCCTTGCCTCGTGGGGCTCGGGCAACCCGGGAAAGTTGCAATCACGTGCGGCGAGCGCGCAGCCCTTGTGGTTTGGGACCCGGGCGGGCCGTGGACCTGCAGCCCGGGCGAGCCCTCGGGGGACGCCGGCAGGCCCCGCAAGCTCACTGCGGCGGGCCGTGAGGACAGGGAGCTGCGGCGGGGTTGGGCCAGCGCCCCGAGGGAGAGCCGACCACCGCTCCCCTCCCCCCCAACTCTGTGCAGCGCGGGAGGCGTGACCTCTGACCCCTGGCCGGGCCCACGCCCGGAGGAGAGGCTGGCAAGCTCTTGTTCGACAAGTTCAAGCTGCCGAGGGAGCTTAAATAGAATTAATCTCTTAGAGAACGGAGATCACTGCTCCCTCGGCGCGCGCTGTCCCCGCGCCGCCGCGCCACGACCAGGACGCCGGAGAGCTCTGGAATTCGGGATAGGCGATCGGGGTGGGGAGGGAGGTGGCGGTGCTCCCCGGGGTCTCCGGGCCTGCAGGGGGAAGCCGGCGATGCCCGCTGGGGACCAGCCGCTGGAGGGAAGGCTTCGCCTTCCAGCAGATCCAGAGCACGTAATGGAGGCGAGAGGACTCGGGCAGCTCCGGGTGGGCCCGGTTTGCTTGCAAGAAGCTGGCGAAGCCCCGCCGCCGCCGCCGTGCCCAAACCCTGCACGCCAAGGCCGAGGGACCGCAAGACCCCCAGCCCAGGCCCCAAGTCCGCGTCCTCGGCTCTGGCTTTCCATACATAGTTGCAAAATGAATAAATTACTTACCTCGGGCCAGATCCAAGTTTTACCCAACAGAAGGGGCGCGGGACCAACAATGAACCAACTCACATGACCATGTCCGGGCGCGCACAATCACACACAGACACAGCCACCCAATTTCTTCCACGAATCTATGTGTCTGGCACTCTGGAGAGAGGGGGGAAAGCGTTTTGAGACAGCCCCGTCACCCCTCCCCTTCTCCCTTGCCGTGAAATATAAAAATTCATTTTTATTACAAGAGCGGCACCGTCCTCACCATCACGCACGCACGGAGGGAGCCGCACTCGCGTATTCACACTCTAACTCGTCAGCTCCCAGAGCGCCTGCATTTTCTTTGGAAGCCGCTTGGAGGTTCATTAATATCATTAGCATTTAACCCCCTCCCTCTTCCCATCTCCTCCCCGCACATGGCTGACGTCAGACCCCGCCAGGAGTTGGGGGAAAAGCTAAGTGGGCCAGGGACGCCCTATTCCCCTCCCCGCGGCTGCCTGTCAGAGCGCTTCTGGAGATATTACCCGAGACCCGGCCCGCAGCGACAGGCACAAAGTCACAGGGTAATGAACTTCGGGGACCCTTCGCGGCGGCGTGCTCGGCTGTCCCCGGAAACTCGGACCTGGCCACCTCTTCCCTTAGAAGATCTCCCAGCCATCTAGTTCCCCCTCTCGGCGGGCGCCGGGGCTCCGGCAGCGCGGAGCTCCTCTGCCTCGGAGACCGCGGCTGTGATTTTCGTCTTTCCGGAGAAGATCCGCGGTCTGTAGAGATCTGCTCACTGGGCACGCCTGTGCGGAGCGAGAGGTTGGAAACTGAGTAGCAGGAATGGGGAAGGAGAGGAATCTTGCCCTTCTTGCTCCGTAGGAAGACCATTTCTGTGCCTCCATCTCTGTGCTCCCACATTCCCCTGGTGCTGTCCTCCCTCTCCAGCCTGCCTGTCCTTCTCTCCATCCGTCTGTTCCAGCCTGTGTCCACAGCAAGCCGCATTCCCAACAGCTGCGGTTTTGCTAGAGCCGGGAAGAAACTTAAGGATGCTTCCATTTCCACTGTGGAACGAATTCTGAGCGCCGGGAGAGCAGGGCGGCATACAACCAATAGCCACCTGTCCCGCCCCAGAGCCTTGCAGGCTGGAGGGCGGCTGGAGAGCGGCGGCGCCCGGCGGCGGCGACGTGGGCGCTGCGGGCCGGGACTCGGGCGGTGCCCACCAACCGCTGCGCCCCGGGACCGCCAGCATGAGCAAGCCCGCCGGATCAACAAGTGGGTACCTCTCCGGCAGCCGCGGGGTCCCGGCGCGTGGCCTGGGGAGGGCAGGCTGGGAGGCCGGGGAGGTCCTTCCCGGAGCTCGGCGAATTTGAGCCCCGGACTGGGACTCTCTCGGGAGTGTGTGTCCGCTGGCCTAGCTCCCCTCGGACTGTCGCGTCGGAGCGTTTCGGGAAACTGAGAGAGCAATTTCGTTGCTTCTGGATGCTAGCATCCCCGGTCGCCCCGGTGGCGGGCGAGGTTGCGACCCGCCGCAGCCCACCGGTCCAGCCAGTGGTTTCTATTTAGCTGCCAGGTGCTGCGGGTGGGAGGGGTGAGGCGGGGGCGGGAACTGGGCCGCAGCTCCAGGCGGCGGCACAATAACGCGGCCGCTCCAAACGGAGCTCCAGAGCGCAAAAGCAACTCCGCAAAGCGGATTTTGAATGGAATGCTTTGCACCCCGTTTCTAGCTATTTCAAATAATCCTGCAAAACTGGGAAGCAGAAACCATTTAAAAGTCACATTTTTCCTTAATCCTAAATCCGCGTAGGTCATAACTGGGGAATGTAAAGTATGGCGAGCTACTCGAGCAAAGAAAGGACCAAATCCCTAATCCCAAGGACTTTCCGAGCGGGAGCCCAGCACCGGCAGGAGTCCGCGGCCTGCTCTCTCGGGGCGCTTCTTCCCTCCCTCCCACTTCCTCTCGGGTGGAACGGCCAGCTGCAGCTGACCTCTACCGACTTCCCGAGGCAGGAGTGCAGGGCTACTCGGGTGTGCGAGGGAATTTGCGAGCAGAGTCTGCGGAACCTGGGGGTGCGTAGGCCTGAGCCGGCGTTGGGAGGGTGCCTGCAGGGTGCTCCAGTCTCCCCGCGGGTTTTCGGTTCCCGCCTTCCGCGGGCTGGAGGCTGTGAGTTCTGGGGTCCGTGCAGAGTGCCCACACCCTGGAGCTCTCCAGCCACCCGTGGTGTTTTCTCCTATAGCATTTTTGGCGCTCCCTGTGGGTTCCTTCCCACCTCCTCCCCCTTGGCTCGCCCTCATTGTCCCGAGTCTTTGAAAAGTTGGGAGAGTCCTAGATACTTCTGAGGACTGATAATGAAGCCTCTCTTAGGATGGATGCAATTCCGGCCTCCACCTCCCTCCCCCGTAAGAAGCAGGCTGTGTTTTCATTTTTGTGCGTTTGTTTTGGTTTGAGTGCTGAGTTTGAAAATTAGAATAAAGCGAACGTCAACAAAATGAGAATAAAGGAAACGTTCAGAGCTGGGGCCGAGAGAAGGAACCTCCTTCACAGCTTCCACGCACAGCCGACCCTTGCAGGACCGCGGTTCCCTTAGCCTCGGCCTCTCCGTGCCCTAGCTGTTCGGATCTCTCGGAAGTAGTGCAGGCTCAAAAAAAAAAAAATTTTTTTTTTTTTTTTCTGGGTGGGTGCTTTCCCCAAGAGAAGCAGAAGGAGGAGGCCTTTCCCGTGGCTGTAGAGATCTCCAATGCAAAAACTGAAGTTGAAGGGACCTGGACTGGCCTCCCCGCACGCACGTTTACCCTGGGACAGCCGGACCTGTCTCTGACAGTAAAGACCTGTTGGGACTTTTGCCCTTTTAGAGCTCGAAGCTTCCAGAGAAACTTGAAAAGCGGGGCTTCGGGGATGAGGCAAAGAGTGGGCGCGCGAAGCTCAGCTTCCAGGTCTGCACCAGGACTCCTGTAAACTAGACAGATGCAGGGCAGACTCTCCGGATCGGGGGTCAGAGTGGGCACACGGCGTGCCAGGGCACTTTCTGAGGAAACTTGCGTTTTTTAACTTGCTAAGCTGGAGTTCGGCCTTGCAGGCCTGGAGCCTCCATTTAGGGTCGCGATGGTGGAAGTGGCCCTCAGGGAAAGGCGGCAAATCCCCGCCAGAAGCGGCCGCTTCTTCTATGAAGTTTTCAGACCCTGTCTGTGGCCAGCGGGAAACCCACGGCCCTGTGGCCTAGGCAGTGAGGGGGTCTGCGGCCGCGGGGCGGGTCTGGACCCTGCCGGGCGGGGAGGTCTTCATCTTCGCCCGGCTGGAGAGCAGAGCGTTGTCACCCGGATCCCCGCCTGGGTGGTAACAAGACCCTGGCCAGTCACCCTTGCAGTCCAGACTAACTTCTTTCAACAGCCTCTGATGGTAATTACAGTAATCGAAGCTGCCATATATCTTTAGGCAATTATGACACACAAAAAGCCCCGAGGGGACCCCCTGGGGAGGGAAGTTAAGAACCGTTTTCCAGCCTCAGGAAACTCGGCTTGACTCACGTCTGAGCTCGCCCGGGCTAGCTAAAAGAGAGGAGCTTTGCAGCAGCCAACCAGCTTGTCTGTGACCCCAAGTCACCTTAACGTGGCTGGGTGGCGGAGTCGGACGCGTCGACCCTCCATGCCCTGGAATTTTCGCTTCCCTCCCTTCTGGGCCCCGCCCCAGCCCAGCTCCCTGTTTCTCCTCGGCCTGGGCTGGGAGGTCAGTCCTTACACAAGGCCGACCAGCAAGCCAGGAAGGGGTCACCCACCCACCCCGCGCTGGGCTGCTCGCCCCACTCGGGTTCTGCAGACATCTATGCCTCCAGTCTGGATGGGAAGCCTGGGCTTTAGAGGGCCCACCCCCCCGCTTCCCCGGTGGGCTCACTGGGCATCACCATCGGCGCCACCGGGAAGAGGAGGGCAGCTGGGGAGACAGTGCTACGGAGCCCTTAATAACGGGTCCCCGGCGACCAGAGCGCCTGGGTCACGCCAGGGAGAAGGGTTGAAAGGTGTGAGACCCTCGGTTACTGTTTCCCGAGTGCCGTGCAGCGGCGGAGCTCGTGACCGAGGTTCGGGCGCGACCGCGGAGTTGTTTGGGGGAGTAGTGACAGGCCCCAGGGGGTGGAGGACAAGACCCACTCTCCGTGCTCTCCAACCCCGCCCTCCCCCCCAGCCATCCCCGCTCCTGCCCTGCGGGAGAGGGGGCGCCGAAGCGGTGGCCGCAGCGCCGAACGCCTCCCCCGCCAGCCTTTGTCGCCGTCCGAATTCCCATGCTACTCTTTTTGACGGGTCACTGGCGGCTCTATAGGCAGGTGCGGCGGCGGGGTTGTAATTACCCCGGCTGAGCCGGGTCCTCACCGACCTCCCCCTGCCGGGTCCCCCGCACTCCCCCCCCCCTCCACCTGAGGCTGAGGCCAAGGCCCCGCGTGCAAGCCCGCCCAGGCGCCTCGGGAGCCCGGAGTAGGTTCCTACCCTCCCGGCCTCCGCAGACAGCGCCCTCAGCGCCCCAGCTCCGCGGGCTCAGGGCTTCCCGCCGCCGCCTCTCCCGCCCCCAATCTGGGAGCTCCAGGAACCGCTGTCCGGTTCCCACGAGGCCCGAGATCGCCTGGGCCCGGGTTGGAATGCCTTTGACCTGTGGGGATGGGAAAATCAGGTGGTGTGAATTGTTAGTAACTGTTTTTTTTAAATGATGTTAACACTTTTTTTTTTTTTTTTTTTTTTTTACAAATATTCCTTTTGTTTTCGGAAGAATTGTCTACGTCTAAATTGCTTCAGGCACTTGTTGGACTAGGACCCGAGAGAAAACACACACACACACACACACACACACACACACACACACACACACACCTTCCTATTTCCCTCTACCTAACGCCCCTCCCGGAGCCGAGACCTCAGGCTTGGAGAATCCAAGCATAATTCTCCTGTGTAGGGTAGAAATCCCCCCAAAAATTGGAGCCATTAAAAAAAACCGAACCCCCCTTCCTCCAACAGTAGGAACATGCAGAAGAAGATGCTCCCAGGATAAGGGGGTCGGGGAGAAGAGACCAGTGTTTAGGGGAAGAGGACCTGGGGGTAGAGGAGGCATAGGTAACTGCCTCCAGCTACCCCATCCAGAAAGCCACACATTGGGTAGCTCTTACCCCTAGACCGGTGGTTACGTCCCTCCCCCGCAACTTTTTCCTAAGAGAAATAATTTCTCAAACGTGAAGCACTAAGCATTTTTCCATAGGTAAAGAGAAAGTTGGGCAATTACCACTACCCTTATTATCATTAATAATCTGAGGATTAGCATCACAATAATAATCCTAATAATAACAACCGCCGGGCTCAGCTCAGAGAAAACTCGATTGCCTCCCAGCTGCCATCCCCGGTTCCAGCAGTGTTTGTTTTTCTTCTTTTCCCCCCCCCCCCCTTTTACATTTCAAG